TTTTTTTTGTCAAATTAAGCATATTTCGTTAGAAACAATGTGAATTTAAATATCAAGTCGTTTGTTTTCTTTCTGAGTCATGTTAAGATTATAGAATTTGCTCGTTCTGTTGACACAGCACTCTCGTAATCAACGATTGTCGACTGCTTTTATTTCAGCAAGTAACAGCACAACAAGCAAAAAGAACGAAGAAAAAAAAAGAATTTTTACCAACTATGAAAGATCGAAAAATATTCGTTTTTCTTTCGAGTTGATTGTGCATCTTAGATGGACTATTTCGATGTAGAATTACATCATGTCTGTTATCAGAGTAGTAAATAAGAGATGTTAGAATATGTTCAATAAAATCTCCTGAGACATCGATGTTATACTTTCAGAAAACAATTCAATTTTTAGTTATCTTCGAATAAATAAGTCGTATATCCCGAGAAGAATATTAAATTATCAGGCTTTGTTATGTCTTTCTCGTTCGTTTCTTCCTACTTTGAGGGTGAGGGTGTATTCTGTATCTACAACAACACCAACACCCACATGCTCAATAATCGAGCTCGAGGTTTTTCAGTCGATGACATAAAATATTCTACAACGGAATAATTATTTTTTTGTATCAAAAAAAGAATCCTAAGATGCATCCATTGGAGATGAATACCTAAAATGAGCTGTCTTTTCTTATGATGAAATGACATTTATCCGATGCGAGATTACACTCGAGGAAGCTCACTTCTGTATATTCTTATTTACTTGACGTCTTAGTTGACACCAAACAAAGGTGCAGAGTGAAAATGTGTGAGCGAACAAAATTTTTGTTAATGATTATTTTGGAAATTCCAGCGATACTTCTCTCAATTGTCATATTAGTCTATTTCGTTCTGGATCGTCAAGCTCGTTCGAAATTGAAAAATCATGGCTGGATCGTTTTACTTCTATCAAATTTTCTTCAACTTATCATAAATCTGCCAATGCCAATGAGTTATTATTATCGAGGTACCGTTTGGCCGCAAACAAATTCGTATTGCACATGGTGGGCTACATCTGAATTTTCATTCAATAGTATCGGACTATTTTTAATGGCGTGGATTTCAATCGAACGACATTTTATTGTTTTCCATTCGCATACATTTCTTCAAGGATATTGGAGAAAATGTTTGTTCCACGTTTTTCCGATTATACTTTGTTTGATTTTATCACCGGTCTTTTTCTTCGTATTTATTGTTATAAGTCCACTATGTACATCTGACTGGGACTTTGGTTTACTCGGTTGCGGTGCTCCGTGTTATTACGGAGAATATTTTCTTAATCAATTTGATTTTTATTTTAATCTTCTCGTCCCAACTTTCATTATTGTGTTAGCAAATGTAATGTTAGTCGTTCGAGTTATCCATCAAAAAGTCTCACGGCAACGAATTATTCATTGGAGACAACATCGTCGAATGATTTTACAATTGTGGATTATTTCATCATTGTATGTCGCATTTTGGTTACCTGTTTCAATAACTCTGCTAGTGCAAATAACTGCTGATCCTTCGTTCATGATGCATTCTCTCGCAGTAATGCAGTTTCTCACATATCTCATTCCACTTCTATTACCAATGATGTGCCTTAGTACATTGCCAGAATTAACCAAGAAAATTCTGCGTAAAATAACAAACTCACGATCGAATGTGGTAGAGGCTATGTCTGGTAATCGAAATGTAAGAGTAGCAATTGCAATTACACGTATATGATGATTTCAAACAAAGAACAGAACAAAACGGCGTGCACGAGCTTTTCTTGTTTCTCACTTAACCATTAAAAACAAAAATATGTGATTTTGTCAAAATCATGAATAAGCTTAATGCAGCTCCTTTGTTTAAAAAAAGCAATGCTATAAAAGAATACGAACAAATCAAATATTAGTCAAATAGAAATGTCGTTTTTCAATTGTACTGAATCTGTTCCGACAATTGAATATCATAATCAACCGAACGAGATCTCTGAACTATACCGAGCATGTGCAGCGGGTGATATTGAACAAGCAAGAGCATTACTGGTTAATATGCCATTTATTCTTATGAATACACTCGAACCGAATGGTAGTACAGCGCTACACGCTGCGTCTGAGCGTGGTTATGTTGATACGGTTCGTCTTCTTGTACATGAATACGGTGTTATTCGCAGTCGAGGGAATGCCGAAGGTTTGACTGCATATGAAGTGGCAGCGAATGATGAGGTTCGTCAACTTTTTCATCGACCTCAGATTGACAATCCGCTCGGTGCGGTCGTTCAGGATGCTGCTGTCAATGCGTTCGCTATGTTCTTTCCAGAATCAAGAAGTCGACGTCCAGATTGGATTCATAGCACGTCTGGCTGGTTGAAGGTGAAAAATATTGAAAGCAAAAGGAAGAAAAGTAAATTGATTCAGAATAATCGATTCTTAAATGTGATATCGACATTAAATAATGGGAGAATATCTGATTTGTTTCCTTCGAAACGCGAAATTAAAACATTACGAAGAATGATTGATAATTACATCAAGCCAACACATAGACAATATCAATTAGCGTCTGATCATTTATCACAGTTCGAGAAAACTGGAAATGTTGAACATCTGTTAACGATTTACACTCTTGAAACACCTTTTTATAATGAGGTTGGTGGACCCAAACGTTGCTACGCTCTATTGAAGCCTCTAATTCGCAATTTGAACACGCTTCGTCGTCGTCATTACCAAGGAACTTCATATCGTGGATTATCAATGACAAAAGAAGACTTAGAAGAATATGAACACGCTATGGAACAAGGAGTTGTTCGTAACAAAAAAAGTGTCATCACTTTAGCAAGTTTTGCTTCCACTTCGAGAAATATAGAAGTAGCGCTATTTTATCTTGATGCTCACCGAATGGAAGGCAAAACTTCCGTGCTATTTACTCTATCATTTCCCGAAGTATGTGATACAGCAGTGGCACTCTATCGGACATCAGAATCAACACCAAACATAGCATTTTTCGAAAACGAAGAAGAGATACTTGTTTATCCGGGCACGATGTTTCAGGTCACAGCAATTGATTCAACATCTGATCCTTCTAAAACACATGTTCATCTTACAAATGTCATGCCGGAATATCATCTTGGAGCAGTTGTACTCGACTCAGTTAAAAGAAGAATGGAGAAGAAATTCATTGGTGCTCTCACTTAAAAAGTTGCTTCATTATTATGATAAACAAATACTGTATTGAAATCATCCGTTAGTTTTTCTTCATTCGGCCAAAATAAAGTTTCATATGTTTTCGAATTTCTTTATCGAGAATAAGGATGACTAGTTTTTCAATTGTAACAGACACCGGTAATGAAATAATTCCCATCGAATAAAAAATTTCAATACGAGTTACGACATAAAGCAATGTCGATAATCCTCCACATGTATAAATTGAAATCAGAATTAAAATATTGCGCAGCATTTCCAGATTTCGTTTCTGTTGAATCTTCCGAAACTGATGTACAGAATTTCTCTCTATGTACCGAACATGATAGTAGATACTAAAATAAACGACAATAATCAATACTGTTGGAATAAAATAACAAGCCGTAATCGTATAAACCACATGCAAAAGTTTAGACACCGGTACCCAGCAGAGAACCGTCGGTCGATAATAAACATCTTTGCTAATCAATACTGATAAAGGGATACTCATAACGAATAACCACTGAATAAATATCATTTGATAATGAGTACGAAATGAAAGTACCCATCGATGTTGAGTATGATATTTGGAGAAAAATAATCGAGATAAAGCTTGAAGAAAATACGAATAGATCACCGATGCGATGGACATGTAACTAAAATAAGCTCGAAATCGACAGGAGAGATCACTTGTATCCCAGGAAATAAAGATTATATATATATAATTGACATTTTGAACAAGACTGTAAAATATCGATGTCAGACACGTATTGCAAACAAGAATTTGTGTCGTAGTGTGTAAACGTCTAGTAGAATAGACTAGAAGTAATATTCCCGACGAGATAACGACGGAAATCAATGCACAACACATGGAGATCGGAATGATTAGTTTGTAATTAACGGATGTTAGATTTGTGGAATGGATAGTAGTATTCATTTCGACAGACAAACTTGTACGTTGAGATTGAACTGAGGACAGCTAACAAAGAAAAAATGAACGATATTATGATACAGGAAGAGTTTTATTAAAAAAAGAAGAGATAGGAAAATAGTTATTATTGACATACTGTGACTAAAACCTTGTCTGAGACATTTCTTTTTAATTACAAAAAAAGGGAAAAGAATATGCAAGATCTTCAAGCTATGAATTATTAAAAACGCATTTGCTGAAATAGCACTCTGTCTGAAATTTTATAGGAAAATAAAGAAATCTATATAAGAATATTATCCAGATTATCTGCGTTGTTTTACTTTATCCCATGACGGATTATGAAGCGACATATGAATAATGCTGAATATTTCACTTAGTTGACAAAAAATAGAATCTTCTTCACATTAAAAATTGAATAGATAAGAGCATCATTATCGTTCCTTTTGTGCACATATTCTATTGTCTTCATTATCGGCTGATGTTTAACGGAGATGAACTCAATCTTATCTTGGCATCTGGTTCGGAAAAGAGGTTGTCTTTATAGAAATTTACCAAATTTCATTTCCTTACGTATCAATGATCGTATTTAACCATATTAAGCTTATTCGAATACACACAGTGAATTCAGTCAAGAACCTTTAGTCAAATGTTCGTTAAAATGCTTGTTATTATTTCAGACCACTCAAGCATTTACAGTTCTTTTTTTGGCAGATAACAAAGTTCCTACAGACAATGCGTCTGACAGTCGTTTTCTGATTCTTTCAAAAAAAAAAAGAGACATTTTATTTTCATCAACACTCAGACAACATTATGAAGGGAGCATTTAATATCAAGCAGTAAATCTTGTCGTGGTGTGTCCATTAATCGTCATAGGCACTACTGACGTTCTTGATTGACAAAGGCCTCTTTTGAAGACCTTTCGAATTTCTCGATCTAAGACAATCGAACAGAATTTCTCCACAGCTACTGCAAACGACACTGAAACAATTCCAATGTAATAGAGTATGTCAATGCCGGATATCATATAAAACACGGATGGTACTGCACCTAATATGTAAATGCAAAACAAGATCATAATATTCCGAAGAACTTCGAGATCGCGGCTAGTTTTTCTTTGACCAGTATGATTTGTCGTGGCCATTGCACTTCGTTTTATTCGGCGATAGATTCGAATGTAGATGATTACGATTATGGTAACAGGAAGTAGATAATAAGCAATCATTGAGTACGCAACGTGTATCATGAATTTGATCGGAATCCAACAGAGATATCCCGGACGAAAATAAATATCATTTGTAAGAATTGCAGGCGATGGAACGATGAGAACGACAATCCAATTGATAATCAACATGATAAAATGAGCTTTAAATGATGTTAACCATCGATATCTTGTTGATAAAACCGCGAAGAACAAACGTGAAATAGCTTGAAGTAAATAAGAATAAACAACAGCGACGATCGACATGTAATTAAAATACGCACGCCATTTACATGAAACATCACTCGTATACGAAGGAAAGAATAGAAGATACACATAACTATTCGATTGAGAACAACAGTATAGAATTGATGAAATACAAGTATTACAAATCAAAAGATGAGTAACTGTACGTAATTGTTTATTGAATGGAACCAATATTAAAATAATCGATGCAATGATTACGGCAACTGAAGCAAAACCCATGGACAATGGAGCGATTAGACGGTAGTCTGTGTAATCCTGTACGATGGTGGTTGTTGAAACATTCATCTCGATTGTTTAAATGTAAATGAAAACATGTTTTTCTAATCAACTTTACATTATTTTCTTCCTGACAAACAAAATTTTCTTGATCGCTGACAGTGAGCTGTCTCATATCACGCTCGATGTTAAAATTGATTAGCGGCAATTAAACGATTCAGACGTAATGAAATGTGTTCTATTTCAAAAACATTGCTCAACCAGGTGAGAAAAGCGTGATATACCGCATGACTTGCGTGAAATGTGTACATGTACATGAGAAACATTGCTTCATTAACAACGAAATCAAATAAGATCTGCATTAATAGAATGGTACCCAACTATAATAGTCCTCACTGACATCTATAAAAAAAGATTGGAAGGATTTGAAATGTCACGAACGAGCTTATTAGCTAAATTGACACTAATGCATCATAACTTTGCATTTCATTCTTGCTCATTACGAGAATTTCTTTAGGTTCGAAGCGCAGTTTGCTTAAGAATATTTTCAGGAGAAGATGTCGAATTATGCGAGTACAATAGCTTCTCTTAAATATTTAACGGTACAAATCAATCGACACGGAAGTTTAGCTGTTGTTTTATTAGGCACCGTTGGCAATTTGTTGAATCTTCTTGTATTCGGCGATCGATCTTTTCATCTCAATCCATGCACAACTTATCTGAAATGGTCATCGAGCATCAGTATTATCTTTATCTGGTCAGGATTATTAACGCGTATTCTCGATGGGTATAGATCCTCCTTAACATTCTTGTCTCATTGACTTCTTCGACTTTTTTTTAGGTATGGAATTGGTTGGCCGAATCAGAATCCACCGTTATGTAAAATTCGTTTGTTTATCTTGATGGTTTGTTGGTCAATGTCTACATGGGCGTTCGCCGGAGCAATGATGGATCGATATTTGTGTAGTAATCCTTTAGTTATCCACCGTATGAAGAGTACCGTTCGCACAGCAAGGCGATTTTTAATCTTCTTTTTCATTCTTTCCATCGCTTTATTCGTGCAAATCTTCTATTGTTATGAAGCAAGTGTGCCCAACGTTCCCGTCGCTTGTTACACTCAAACGTTAGCTTGTCAAATGTACAATGATTGGACGAATATTTTGTACAATATTCTTATTCCAAGTATATTCATGACAATATTCAGCGCGCTGACAATCTCGAACCTTCGACAACGAACTGTTCATCCAATACAGACAAATACACAAACACAGCCGACTTTGAGAAAAATCGATCGAAATCTTCGGAAGATACTATTTGTTCAAGTATGTTTTCCTTTGAACTGATTTGAATCGTTGAAACTGAGGTTTTGCTTTAGATTGCGTTTTTACTTGTGTTGAGTTTACCTGTTGGAATTCAGCGTTTTTACGCGAATGTCACATCGGACACAGTTAAAAGTAATCTTCGGTCAGCGGTGGAAAATTTTCTGTATGCAATTATTGTTTTACTTCGGTTTATTCCTTATTCGATATCGTTCTATTTATATCTATTCACCGGATCAGTGTTTCGGAACACATTTAAACGAAAAATATGCCATATGCACATACATCAATGACAGACAAGGCTCAATAGTCTGTTTTTCTCAAATATACTAACAGAAAATCGCAACCAATTATTATTTAATCAGAAACACAGAATTTTCCCCGTTAAACGTAGTTGTGCTACTTCAATAAATGTTTCTGCTTGACATGTATTAGTCAATCGTCTTATGAATAATCATCTACACATTTCTGACAGATGAATATGTCCTGTGTAGATAAAGCCGTATAACGTGATGAGAATCTATTTTAGTAAAAGCTTTAAGAAGAACAGCATGAGCACCAGACTGTTCAACAATTGTCACACCTCGATTTCTCTAAGAAAAATGTTTCTATCTTTATCCTTACTTTTCCCATATCTACACGTAACGGTTCCCACTCTAAAATCGACTGAAACTCATGACTTAATTCAGTAACCTCGTCCTATGAATTAACTGTGCATCCCTCCAGTCAACGATTTAAATGCACATTGTATATTTCATCGATATTCTTTGTTCTTAAACCTAAACTTTGCTTGAACGTTGAAAATCAGCGTGCAATTAAGTTAACTTACTGATTCTACAGATGAATTTATTTTCTTTTCTGTTGCTACTTTCTGGCATCGCGCGAGTGTGGGATGAATAACTTAATTAGCAGAAGTCATAGCTTATTAAAGAAATTAGTGTTTTCTTTTGCCGTGACTTGCTGTTTAAGAAAAAAAACTATTTTCATTTGCTAGAATATACGTTTGTTAAAACACCTGCTAACATAACTGCCTCACGGATGTTGCAACTCTTTATTCTTTCCGCAATATTTCTTACCGGAAATTGTGTGTTACTAACTAAAGTTGGCAATGCAAGATTGAATGGATTTACTTTAATGAGTTTATCGAATACAACACAAGAACAATGCATTTGTGAAATGTTAAGATTAGATTACGTTTCGTCATTGAACTATTTCTCGAAAAATCGAACATGTTTATTAGTTTTGTTGCCTCCTGGTGTATCTACAAGTGTCATAGTCGATATCAACTCTAGCTTGTTTTATACCAATCAATCGAACATTGGAAGTTTGTTTAGTAAGTGAATGTGTAGAAATTTTACTCATTTTTTCCTTGGAAATACTCATGAAGCTGGTTGGTAACATGACGATAAAGTAATGCTTTTTTTGTTGGTTATTTGTTGTTAACGACAATTTTACTGGTATAAAAAAGTGTTCTTTTTCTTAAAATAGAAACAATAACTTTCACATCAACAACATCGACGGCTATAAGCACGATTTCCGGTAAGTGAACACATAGTTTGAATACGTGTCTGATGGTTGATTGACCACGAAATCTTCACCAAACATTGTTTCTCTCTGCTTGATTTAGGATGGACAACTTTAGCGAATATGACTGTTGGGCGATGCAGTCATACAACATCTGCATTATCAAATAGCAGTGTATTAGCTGCTGGTGGACGAGATAGCAATTATGCTGCTCTCCTCAGTGCAGAAATATACAACCCGGTGACGGGAACGTGGATAGTCACAGGTAATATGAGTATTGCACGATTTCGTCATACAGCAACTGTTCTGGCAAATGGACAAGTTTTAGTAATCGGTGGCTATGGTAATGCTACTCTGAGCAGTTCTGAAATCTATGACCCATCGACAGGTAGATGGGCTGTTGTGGGAAACATGAGTATTGCCCGAATGTATCATACAGCATCTCTACTGCTAAATACTAAGGTGTTAGTGGTTGGTGGGCAAAGCGAGAGCATTGTTGCTAATAATAACGCACAAATATTTGATCCATCAACAGGAGCATGGTCAGCAACAGGTAGTTTGAATACTGGTCGATGTTGTCACACCGCATCTGTTCTAACAAATGGAAAGATATTAGTTACTGGTGGACGAAATGGTGTTGATAATCTCCGAAGTGCTGAACTGTATGATCCATTATTACAACTGTGGTCAGTGACAGGAAGTATGAACTTTGCACGGTCTTTTCACACAGCGTCGGTTTTAATCAATGGTTCTGTGTTGGTTGCTGGTGGTTACAACGATACAAACACTTTTACCAATTCTGCCGAATTGTATAATCCAGCGACAGGAACGTGGGCAACCGTGGGAGCTATGAGTACTGCTCGAAGCTATCATACGGCATCTGTTCTGACAAACGGAAATGTTTTATTAGCCGGTGGGTATAATAATATTTCTATTAACAGTGCTGAACTGTACATTGCTTCAAGTGGAAATTGGACGACTGTAGAATCCATGAAATTCAGGCGATTTTTACACGCTGCATCTGTATTATCAGATGGCAAACTTCTAGTTACCGGTGGACACAATAATGGCTGCCAAAATAGCGTAGAACAGTATTATTAATCGACAACACCATATGACCAAGAACTTTCTCTTTTACAGACTAATTCTCAAAAAACTATTTGATCTAATAAAATTGAAGAATATTACATTTACATCCATCCACTAAGCATTTTTCATCTTTTTTGCCAATGTGTTGATTGATGATTTTCAGTTTGGAAATATGCTAATATAGCACCAAGCTTTTGCTTCCAGTTCTGATCAAGCAAACACCGATTCACGTAAATAATGATACGCGCTGAAAGCAGAAAGGGTTGATATTTTCCTGGTCAGATATTCCTCGACAATGATTGAATCCACTAGTAGCTAGAAATATATTTCCGGGAAATTTCTAAGTAATGATTAACGAAATTGTCAAAAGTACAGCATTCAGAAAGTTGGTTTTTCCATCGGATAGAAAACACATCTGCCCGCATCGCAACGTGTGATAGACGATGTATCTTGAGGGTGAGAAATTGAATAGATATCTACATTGGTTTTCGATTTTAGCTACTATGACTATACAACAATCGTACTTTATCTTTTCGCTGTTTCACAAAGAAAAGAAAAGTTTTATTGATAAACAATCAAATATTCTGCATATGCTTGTGCATCATGATAAGTCACAAAAATTTGAATACCATCTGTCGTTGAGTGATATCCGTCTGGGGGAGTTTTCTGGGATGCATGTCCAAGACATGATTTACCGATCAGAACACGCGCTAAAAACATACGTCGTTCCCCTACTGCATTTGATTTAGCATAAAAATGACTGTACGATCCATTGTCTGAAAAATAAACACCAAGACCGTATTGTGTACCTAAAAAATCAACTGAAAAATATGAAACAGACATAGAATACCAATCATACCATTAACTCCAGCAAAATTTCTGTTGAAACCGTGCTTGATAATCGATTGACTCGCTTGTTCAGGACAGCCATGAAATAAGACCTTCTCGGTGTCGGTCTTTAATTCTTCTCGTAAACCTTGACGATGGATTTTGAATTGTAAATAACAACGTTCATTTTGAATTCGTTCAATTCGCATTATTTTCGAATAGGAACCCAGCATTGTCGGCTGAAACTTACTCAACACTTCGTTATACTCATCTGACGAAACGTCTAGTGTGAAAGAGTTTTGACCATCTCTTCCACATTCCCATGTCGAAGGTAAACTAAAATTAAATCCAACAGTGCTATGAATGGGTGCTGATGTTCCATGGTCAAGCCAATCAAGTGTAGCTGCATCGGTAACATCTGAGATTATTGACATTTGATCACGAAAAATATCATAAATATCTTTCTGTTCATGTCGAATGATAAATTTCACTATTAGAGAACTGTCGCTGTTCGTCAACTGATTTTTGACGTCAGCAAGCATCATTTTTGCGACTTGACTTGTCGAATAACTATATTCACCGCATCCAATGATCGGTACAGCGATTGATGTAAAACCATCAGTTATAACATGTTGTAAAACAGTGGATATTAAATCCATATAAGATTTTCGTAGAAGAGCTAAGTTCCTGGATGGTTCCCATTGGAAAAAATAGATTTGATGGACAGATAGTTGACCACCCGGGACAGAAATCAGGTTTCTATTCGGATCACGTTGATATTCATGTTCGTAAGCAGACATAGTCTCATCTCCAGCCGCTTCGAGCATTGACTTTTTCAAGCGATTCGATGTTGTTGTACCAACGATAACATCCGTCTACAATATCACAACTATATATTACAAAGAAAGAAATTTCATGGACTAATTACTGTTTGCTGGAGAATATCTCCCTTTTCAACAATCACTACACTGTTTCCTACATCTATTAATATCTGCTTCATTTCTGTATCGGACTCTTCTACTTGTGGTATTGATTTGATAGCTTTGTTAAATTGATCAAAAATGTCGTATTTTCCGAATTCGATGACAAAGAGAATTGTAAGAGAATATGTTTTCAATTGATTGTAAATCTCTCCGACCATTGTCTTAGCAACAAAACTACTTGAACAACCGGCTAAGCCACAGCCAATAGCTGGAAATGCAATACTTTGATATCCATCATTGCTTGCCCGTTTCATAGCCTCAGTAATTAAATTCTTAATTGATAAACCCGCTTGAACCTGATCAGAACCAAGTTGGCATGAAACAAAGTAAACTCTTTTCGCTGGTAGTTCATCCCTAGTTCTGATAGAGATCAAAGAAGCATCTGGATCTCGACGTAATTTCATGTCATATTCATCTCTGAAGGATTGTCCCACTGCTTTTAAAATGTTTTCCAGCAAATATGCCGATGATCGACTTACGACAATGACGTCAGTCTAAATAGATTTCAGAATTTATCCATAGTTTAACTCAACATTTTCCTTACATTTGTAAACATTAAATTACCAGACCGAATTTTAATATTCGATTGATCGTCTTCATCAGACTCCGAAGTCTACAGAGAAAATAGAATCATCAATGAAATATTATTTAGTTATGTGTCGTATTAAAAGCTTTACTTCATTTGATGTATAAAGCAAGGGTAATACTAGTAGAGGATTCGGTATTGTTCGTGGAGGAACCGGTGCTGTTCGTGGAGGGATTGGTGCCACTTGTGGAGGAATTAGCGGTGTTTTAGTAGGAATCGATCTTGTTCGTACAGATTTCTTGTTTCGACGAAAGAGCGACTTAAAACGAGATTTTTTTGGAGTGTACCTTTCACGTAGATCATAGTCGCATGCATCTTGCCATGATTGCTGGATTACAGTTTGTTGTGGTACTTGTGATGGTAAGACGTAAGGGCTGATCGGTGGACTTTGTATGGCAGGTTTTAATATAGGCCGAATTAGATTCGCCGAGTTTTGTTGAACGACCTAATTTCGACAAGAATGAATGAATATTGAAATTTGAAGAATAATAAATTACTGTGTTTTTTGCACTTGTGCTGGCAGGTAGTTTTGGAGTTGCAGGAAGAGCCGGTGTCGTCGGGATAGAAACAAATCGACATTGTAAAATGACTTGTTGAGTGTCATCTGTCTGTGTCCCATATTCTTTCCACTACAAAGAAATCTGGATAGTAAAAGAGTAGAGAACTAAAATTAACTTACAAATGTATCGAATTCATCATTGTATGTTTTCGGAACAACAAGATATTTGATCACCAATCGGTTTTGTTTATTTACTTGCTGAGAATCAATATTTGCTTGAGGTTTATAGGTAACTACATCGAATTGTTATAGATTTGATCGGCGGAAAAACTCGAGCTCACCTTGAACATCAACAGCTTCTTTTAAATCTATAAAACCTTTGTATGGTTTTATTCGATGATGTTCACATGCTGTTTTAATTTTGAATGCTAACCGTTCCGTGCCACGATTGGTCAAATTCAAATTTGCATTACACACTTCGTCGCATGTACCTTTGCCAAACAAAAAACAGATTTTAATTGTGTCATGTTAAACTATGACAATACCTTGGAAAATAAGTTCATCATTTGGATTGATTTCAAGGCTCATGATCAACGAAAAGACGAAAAGCTTCTGTAGGAAGTTTGTACTGCTACTTCCTTGGACGATATAGTCACAAATATGATTTTTTCCAACTAATATATTTACCTTTACACTCGTTTTGTCTTCTTACTCATCGCCAATAGATTTTTTCGTTTTGCTCAAAGCAGTTTCGCTCTGTTGCTTTTCAATGAATAATCATATATGTTCTTAACCATGACAAGCGTCATAGCGATCCGAGTAAAAAAATTCTTTTGGCAAGTTTCTTCTTTAAAAATCATGACTTCTAACATGATTATCTATATACTTTGATCGATACTCTCTTCGATAAAAAGCGTGCTGAAAAACTTGAGAATTTCATTCGCATAACAATTTATCCTCGGGGTTTTCAATCGACAAATCTTCAACCGAAACTCTAAGTCAAGTCGATACAACTACAATCGAACGTCAATAGATGATCGTCCATAAAAAAAGACTTCGTATCTGTCGTTTTGTTGTTTCACTTCTAATTCATTAAACTTAACTTCTAGCGAATTCAGAAACTCATAGAGAAAAAGAAACAAAAAAATATTTTTTATAATTGTGTCACCAACAGTTTGGAATAACATTTGAAGATAAAAAAATGATTACAAATGTTGCTTTTCTCGCAACACTTTCTCTCTCTCAATCAATCTCAACAGCAATACATTTGTCAAATGATCACTTCACTTCCATTTATGTCTGCATTAAACTATTTGTCGACAAATCAAACATGTCAATTATTTTCTTCGAACTTAACTCTAGCTGATCTGGATTTAGATGTGGATTCGACAATCATCTATAAAAATGGATCGATCGTTTCACACGTGTTTCGTGAGTCGAAGAGTGCGGTGGAGGCTGGACATGATAGTCTATGTTTGTTGTTGAGAAATAGTTGTAAAGAGAAAAATAATCAAAATAATGAGATGTTTCAAAGACGTTGTAGAGGCATATTGTCGTTGTATTTTCTAGTTGATCAATCTCTCCCTAAAACACTAGAAAGATCTTGTTTGAGTCATAGTTGAAGTTTGTTTTGTATTGCAAATAGAAACAAGCCCAACTTCGTCGTCTTCTACATCAACATCAACTACAACAGCTCAGATAGGTGAGTGAGATGCACAAAGATCCATTTCACCTTTGACCAGGTATGACGAGTCAATTATAAATTGTGTTTTTATGTGGAAGAAGAAGTTTCATCGTGTCAAAAACTTTGATTCACCCAAAGGACACCTAAAAGCGTAATAATATTATCGACTGCACTCGAGTAATATGACATAGGAGTATACTATTTTTCGTTTTACTGAAATTGTCAAAGTGATTGACATTCTGAGACGGACTTCTACTCAGATATCTGATTTCTTCAAACATCCCAACGCGTGTTGTATCTTCAGTGAAACAACAATCACTCTAAATTTATAGATAAATTCGCCTTTTAATAGTTTTTTATTAAATGAAAATTAACCAAGCGAGAGTAATACTTTTCATTCCTCTTCAAGGTATCTTCGCGAGAGAGTTATAATGAAAAAAAAATGAAGTCACTTATTCATTTGCAGCAGAAGAAGCACTGATGTCTTCATCGATTATTTCTACGTTGAATTTCATCTCACAGCAAATCAATATCTACGTTGGTTTGACTATTCTCATTCTTGGTGTCGTTGGCGGATGTCTCAACGTCCTTGTTTTTGTAAGTCTTCGAACATTTCGACAAAGTTCATGTGCATGTCACCTCACTATTATGTCGATCTTCAACATTGGCCAACTGGTTATTGGCCTTTCAACTCGACCTTTAGAAACTAATGACGATATCAATGCGATTTTAACCTCATTGTCCTACTGCCAATTCCGACAATTCACATTTCAAGCGTGTATATCGATCTCCTTAGCCAGCATTTGTTTTGCCACGATTGATCAATACTGGGCAACATGTTCTCGTCCGAAATGGCGACAGTGGTGCAATATTAAATTAGCACTTCGTCTTAATCTGATCTCGATTATCATTTCGCTCTTACATTGTATTCCATATTTATTCTTCTCTAACCGAGCTTTTCTTTCTACTACCAATCGAATGGCATGTGTTTTAACCAACAAAATCTATCAACAATATCGAGATTATGTTTTAGTACCTTTTATCAATCGGCTTATCCCCTTGACAATAATCTTCACATTTTGTTTACTCTCTTATCGCAATATTCAACAAATCGCATATCGAACAGTTCCCATTGTTCGACGCGAGTTGGATAAGCAGTTAACAACAATGGTTTTAGTGCAAGCCGCGTTCATTTGCTTGACAATCACACCCTATTTGATTCTTAATTCAATTACGTCATATACAAATCTTGCTCAAAATGCAACGACTGCGGCTATACTTAATTTAATGAATACAATAGTGTTATGTTTTTATTATCTTAGTTCTGCCGTAAGTAGATTAATCAAACATGAGATATTTGCTTTTGCACATATTTGTCCTTGTAGAGTCCATTTTACATTTACCTGAGTGTATCGGAACGATATCGTCGACAATTCCTTCATGTGATCAATAGAATTCATGCGAACAAGTGTACTAAACCAAGAATAGCTATAAATCAAGTAACGCCCGATGATTTTTAACCGATGTCATATAGATGTGGGCAATAAAAACCATCTTGAGGATATAAATCTTAAAATAAAAAACAAAAGTGATCGTCATTATGACATGAAGAGTTAATTTATTTTCTCGCGGGTACTTTGGGATATAAATCAAGTAAATCATTTTGTTGGACTTTGTTTCAATGATTACTTTAATTGAAGTGTAGATGATTGAAAACAAATACTTTGTTGTGCTTCATATAATGATGATTGAATTAATTTTGAAAAATAACAACCAGGCTTTCATGTTTGATGTGTATCAAGTTTCACTCGTTTGAAAAAGATATTTTCATGTCGAAGTGTAATGCATCAATCGTATTTTTTTCGTACACGAATTGCTCTTTTCATATTGCCTTGTGATTTTAATAGTTTATAAGATTCTAGGGCATTACGAAGTGACACATTCACCTTGAGCTCATTTGATATTCTTTCAGAAATAAATTCAATGACTGTAACAAGGTGTTCTTGCTAGTTTTTTGGCGCAGTGTATACTCTGTTGGAACAGAAAAGAACATGGACTTTGACAATGAAAAGTACATATTGAAACTATGTATCTAAAAAGTAATCACACAAAATAAATACCCATAAGATTAAGCATAGTAAACCGTTTGCATCATCAATGGTTCTCACATGCGTATATAAGCACACACCTTCGGATTCTGCGTTCACTCTTCTCATCTTTTGCACAAAACTTTCGTCTAATACAGCTATGATTATCTCTCCACGACTTGTTCTCCTATTCTTGTGCATCGTGGACATTGCATGGTCCCTATCTGCTAACCAATTGGCATTTCTGGAATCAACAATTAATGAGAACAGCTGTGAATTCTACAATAGTCTAGAAAAACTGATGCCGTGCGGTAAAAATGGATATGTCATTGGTTTTGGCTACAAATACTGTGAAGCATATTTAGCTGCACGAAATGAATTCAATGATATCAAATGGCAAAATGGCGTTCGTGTATGTCTTCAACGAACTATACTATCGAAATTTCAAAATATTTCTGAAGCTTCCTGTTCGCAAATTAGTGACTGGGGTTTCGATTCGCATTTTGGCTGCTACATGCACCCGATTTCTGACTCACCAGAAATCAACTTCTGCCATCTCAAGTCAATGGACATTATCAAAATCGCATGGATTGCGAAGAGTAAATTGTTGAAACAAGAAGTGATGAATCAATTTCTTAAACTAATCCAACAATGTACCACTCCTAATTAATACAACTGTACTATTCATCATACCTTTACTTTAATCATATAACATTTTCTGACAATAGAATTCTAGTGTCATCAATTTTGTTGAATGTATCCGTCATAAACGGTTTGAAACAAACAGGTAAATCGAAAGAAAAACTGTTCTCAACGAGCATATCGTGCCCATCCACGTCCTTAATCCTTTTGTATTCTGATATGATGATTAGGCGATTTTTTTATGATGTTTTTCTGCAATGTAATTCAGTACGTTTCAATTGTTATACAAGGAGCACAGAATAAACATGAGAGCAGTTTGATTTTTGGAAACACAAAATCATCTATATGTATATTTCTGATTTGCTGAATCTCGACTACTTTTGTAATCAAAGTAGCACGAATCTCATTGAAACTGTATAGTACATCATCAATATAAGTACTATTACGCATAAAGTACTGTATATCGTGGCAGAATGACACGAAAAGTCAGTGAAATGCATTTTTTTACAATAACTGATTACTATTGATAGACTAACACTCACCAACCGTTCTGATATTACCACTTCGCATTATAAACGAATATTTGAATGAATGAACTGATATCTGCTCTTTTACAATGGCCATTTCCACATCTTCATTCTGGGTTAAAAAACTAACGGGTACGCCAGAAATAATGGCGGTCTAAGTATATTAACTACAGTTTCTTTGGGTTTTATCCCTTCGAACTGGTTTGTCTTCTTGCAACTTTATTTAATCATAACAGTTGTGTAATGACAAACTGGTTGAGTAGCTGACCGCTTCTCACGGTATCGATGTTTATTGACCACTCTACGTGACCACAATGTAACCACTTTACAATAAGACACACGCTTATATAGAGAGAGGAAGAGAAAGAAGAACAAGAGGATACGCATGATTAGGAGAGATGATCATATACTGATATCACCTCAGGGGGTGATACCTTTATCATTACAAGTTGTTTATTTTCAAAATAAAGTACAGTAATAGATACAACTTGAAGCGCTCTGCATGGTACATACAAAATTAAATTTTATATACATAGCGTTTGGTTCCTAAAATGAACAGAAGTCTGGGCGCCGGATTTTCGTTCAGAGCATTTTGCATGTAATTAAATTTTACTTATTTGAAGAATAGAAGATGCATATTTAAGGGAATCTATTCGCTGCAAATTATAGAGCTTTTGATATTGTATTTTGTGGTATGTTTTCTAACAGAAAAGTAAAGAAGAAAGTTTTAATTTGCAGTTCTCCACAAGTTGATTTTATTCGAATCATAGGAAATTCGCCGCAGAGAGTTTTGCCTGTAAAGTTTGTGTTTATAAAATACAACCTGATATACATCTTGCCTTATATTTTTTCTTCGCGATCAATGTACTGTTTGCTCGTAAAAAAGAGACACAAATGTTCATTAGCATTGAAAGTTCGAACGGAGAAAACCCAAAGAAACTGTAGTTAATGTACTTAGACCGCCATTATTTCTGGCGTACCCGCTATGATTCTGCGAAAATAAAAGTTACTTGCGTAGTTAATCTTTCAATTAAATGAATTAATTGAGGATTGTACAGAAGAAAAAACAAAACAACAAATCAACATGGTTTGTCCTTGACATTCTAATCCTTAGCATGGACAGATGTATATAAAAATCTTCGTATGTTCACAGTCGAATCGCAATATCTTCTTTGAATTGGACTAAGCACGTTTATCAGAAATAAAGATGGCTGTTTCTCTACGATCCATTTTGTTACTACCGTGTTTGTGTAGTCTTGTGTGGTCATTATCTACACTCGAATTATCCCTTCTTGAATCAACTATCAGTGAAGACAGCTGCGACTTCTATAAAGCTCTTGAAATGCGGACTCGCTGTGGCAGCAATGGATATGTGACTAACTTTGCGCATAAATATTGTGAAAAGTATTTGGCTGGAAGGAGCAGCTTCTACGACACGAAATGGCAAAATGGCGTGCGTGTTTGTCTTCAACGAACCATGTTATCCAAATTACGAACCGTCAATCAGCCTACATGTCAACAAATCCGTGATTGGGGATTCGGTTCACATTTCGGCTGCTACATGCGCCCTATTCCAAATTCACCTGAAGTGAATTTTTGCCGATTAAAAGGAGCAGATATAGCAGAAATTGGATGGATGGCTAAAGGAGCGGTGTTTGAAAAAGAAGTTTGGAGCCAATTCGCAAAAATGATCAAGGAATGCGCTGGTCAGTATCTACAAGACGTTCAACAAGATTTTGTTCAATTCCTGAAAAAAACTATGAACTCACTCAATTGGCCGTGGTAGTCATAAAAACGTTTTTGACGATATCGATGATTTAGTTAACATCGTAATTTATCGAATGTATGTGTCATAAAACTATTCAAATGAATAGATAAAAACTAAAAATAAATAACGTAGATATATTGATGATCGCTATCTCGTAAGTTCATATAAGTAATAAAAAAACATGATAGAAAGGATTTGCGATACTGCTTTATACACGATGTTAATGCATATTTATTTCTGATAAAAACGAATCAATCACAAATATTTAATAGAACAGATAAGTCACCATCATAGAAGTTCGTTACAAGCAGATCCAGTTTATTATCATTGTTTAGATCGGCAGATTTGAGAGACGAAGGTCCATTGCCAGTCGGATATATACTTTCAAATGAAAATATTCCATTGGCATCTCCTAATAACATACTGA